GGATCATATGCACTTACGATTGGAACTCTAGCAAGCATTCGCAACTACTAAAGATCATTAAGGTAAAACCAACCATAGCATTAAAGTATCGAGTTCTCTTTACTCCCATACACAAACAACCTACTTACTCGGGTTTGTGCTTCTGTCACTCATGGCACCCACCATAAGCAAATCATGAACATTGCAAACCCTATAGCGGGGATCCCTCACGCCTCCGCGACACGAAGAGCACGATAGGACAACACCAATAATAAAACATACAACTCAGACCAATCACGATCATCAATCAACCCATAGGACAAAAATGGATCTACTCAAACATCATAGGATAGCCATACATCATTGGGAAATAATATATAGTGTTGAGCACCATGTTTAAGTAGAGATCACAACATGGAGAAGAGGTGTTACACCACTGCATAGAGTGGAAGAGAATTGGTGATGATAGCGGCGAAGTTGTTGGTGTAGATCGCCATCACGATGATGGCCCCGGCGGCGTTCCCGCGCCACCAGGAGAGGGGGGAGAGAGCACCCCTCCTTCTTCTTCCTTGGCCTCCCCCCTAGATGGGAGGAGGGTTTCCCCTCTGGTCCTTGGCCTCCATGGTGGCGGAGGGACAAGAGCCCCTCCAAGATTGGATCTCTCTCCGTTTCCTTCTGTTTCTACGTTCCCATATTCTGGCTTTCACCGTTTCTTAAATTCCCGGAGATCCGTAACTCCGATTAGGCTGAAATTTTGGCATGATTTTTATCCGGATATTAGCTTTCTTGCAGTCGAAGAAGGGCACCAACCGCCTTACAGGGTGGCCACAAGCCCCCTGGCCGTGCCCTGGGTAGGGGGCGCGCCTCAAGGGCTTGTGGGCCCCTCAGGCATCGTATCACGTTGATTCCTTTTCCCCAAATCATATATATTCTGAAAAAAATCTTCAAAAGTTTTTATCGCGTTTGGACTCCGTTTGATATGGATATTCTACGAAACAAAAAACATGCAATAAACAGGAACTGTCACTGGGCACTGGATCAATATGTTAGTCCCAAAAATAATATAAAAAGTTGCCAAATGTGTATCAAAGTTGTAGAATATTGGCATGAAAAAATCAAAAATTATAGATATGATGGGACGTATCAGTGTCGTACGTTCGGTACTTGATCGGGCAGATCGTGAAGGTGTACGACTACATCAACCGTGTTGATAAACGCTTCCGCTTTTTGATCCACGAGGGTGCGTAGACACACTCTCCCCTCTCGTAGCTATGCATCTCTATGGATAGATCTTGCTTATGCGTAGAATTTTTTTGTTTTCCATGCAACGTTACCCAACAATTAGAGTGTGCAGAAATGCGTCATTAGTATGACACCTGTTGTTTGCTGATGATTCTTTGATTCTAATGAAAGCAGATACTTTAAATGCAGCTTCCTTACAGCATGTTCTGGATACCTACTGTTAGTGTTCGGGACAATTGGTGAGCTTGTCGTAATCTAGTGTCTTTTTCAGTCCAAACATTCCTGTCGTATCTAGGACTGAAATTTGCCAACAGCTAAACATTGACACCGAAGCTTTATCTGACAAGTATCTCGGGCTTCCAGCAATGGTGGGAGCAGATAGAAGTGAGTGTTTCAGACACTTTGGTGAAAGAATTAAAGAAAGGCTAAGAGGGTGAATGGATAAACAATTGTCCACTGGTGGCAAGGAAATTCTTACTAAATCTGTATCCCAAGCAATCCCGTTTTTGCCATGTTAGCTTTTAGTATACCTAAAGTTATTTGCAAAGAGATCACTAGTTTGATTGCTTAGTTTTGGTGGGGGGGGGGATGAGGAGGAACACAAAAGGATGCATTGCTACACTCGGTGGAAACTGTGCTATCAAAAAAATGAAGGTGGGATGGGCTTTAGGGACCTCCACTCTTTCAATTTGGCAATGCTCTCGAAACAATGTTGGCGACTTATAATGAACCCAGATTCTCTTCTCTTTGTGCCTGAGTTTTGAAAGCATAATATTATCCAAATGTAAGTTTACTCCAAACAGCGCTGAAGAATGGAGCATCCTTTACATGGCAAAGTATTATGAAGGGGCTAGAAACCTTTAAGCTGAGATATATTTGGCGCATCAGAATTGGAGAGAATATGAATATATGGAGTGACCCTTGGGTGCCAGCCAACCCGGATAGGAAGGTTATCTCAAACCGAGGTCAAACTATTCTCTCGGTTGTTAGTGATCTCATCGACCCTCATATGGGAGCATGGGATGAGCCCCTGATCATTCTATTTTTAACCATGTCTACATCAGAAGGATCATGCAAATCCCAATTAATCACAATGCATTTGATGATTTTATTGCCTGGAACCCAGATCAGAGGGGTGTTTTTTTAGTTCGTTCGGTGTACCGATTACAATGGATTCAATCTTTTCGGGTGCATGCAAATGTATTGGAACGCCCAGCTGGATCAAACTAATCAGAAGTATGGCCTACACTGTGAAAATTGCAGGTTCCATGTAAGATTCAGATTTTTTGTTGTTGGCATGCACTTCATAGAATTACCCCCCTAAGATACATACTCACTAATAGACGTGTGGGTACCAATGGCTCATGTCTGATTTGTCACCAGGGCGCGGAAGATGTACGCCATCTGCTTTTTTACTGTACACATGCCAAGGAACTGTGGATCCAGCTGGGTATACTGGACATTGTTGAAGAAGTGAAGTTAATTAATTCGCTCTGGTTCAATCATACTCGAATACCTGATCCCTATAAAGCCTAATTTGGATGTCAAATAGCTGATAGCGGTTGGGGCTTGGTACTTATGGTGGGTGCATCGTGAGCTCACCCATGATGGATCACCACCACCTCCCTCGAGAAGGCCTATTTCGGTCCTGGCAATTGCAAACAATTTTCATCAAGCTAACTTAAAAATTCATGGTGTACAGGAACATAATAAATGGAGTAAGTCAGAACCCAAGTTTGTGAAGCTAAACGTGGATGCCTCGTTCCATATGGATGAAGGTGCAAGAGCCACTGTAGCTGTTCTTAGAGACGGTAAGGGTAATTTTTTGGCGGCACAATGTTTATTTATACCTTATGCAGCAGATGTGGTGACAACGGAGGCTATGCCTATGCGTGATAGACTAATCTTTGCAAACTCTCTGGGGTTCCCTCGAGTGGAAGTTGAGTTTGACTCCTTGACAACGATTGATTACTGTACTGGACAGACAAGATGGTGGGATGCCGCGGCGGTGATCTTTGCGGAATGTGTGGACGTGTCTTCGTCAATCGGGAAGGTCAAATTTAAACATTGTTATCGTTCTTCTCATCAAGCGGCGCATGTGCTAGTTAATCATGGTTTTCGTAATAAGATTTCTAGTAGTTGGACGGTGGAGCCTCCGAACTGCCTAGTTCACAACCTTGTGGACGATGTGATCCCTATTTAATTTTTAATAAAGCTAGTCATGATGGCTTTCCTAAAAAAAGTACTTCCTCCGTCTCCAAATAGGATATATAGCTTTTTCTCATATCAAACCATGCCAAGTTTGACCAAATTTGCACGGAAAAGCACCATCGACTACAATACTAAATGGATACAATATAAAATATATTTTATTATATATTTAATGATAGTAATTTGTTTTTATAGTTGTTGATAGTTTTTTCTATAAACTTGATCAAACATTACACCGTTCGACTTGAGACAAAATTTATAGACCTTCTGCAGATGGAGTGGAATAGGGACATTAGGCAAGCGACCAATGAACCGTCAACCATTGGGCCGACTCCATATCCCCGAACAAAGCAGAGGGGGCGGCGAGTACTGGTGCCTGCTAGAGTGGTCTCGCCCATTACCATCCTTAAAAACTGATAATTTTGAAATAAAATGTTCACTAAATGATAAAATGTTTGTGGATTCAAAAAATGTTTGTGATTCTGTAAAAAAATGTTTGCTTATTCAAAAAGTGTTTGAAATTTTGAAAAAAATGTTGGTGAAACAATAAATGTTCGTGATTTTTTAAAAAGTTTTTGTATTAAAAAATGTTAATGTAATTGCACAAATTTTGGCCAACTCATAAAATATTCATGAATGAAAAAATATCCTAAAATTCAAAAAATATCATGACTTACAAAATAGTTTATTCATTCATAAAATGTTCATTAATTCAAAAATGGTCGTGCATTCCAAAATATGTTCGTTAAACCAAAAAAATGTTCATGAATTTCAAAATTTGTTCCACTAATTTCCAAAAATGTCCGTTGATTCTAGAAATGTTCGCCGATTCAAGAAAATTATATGAAAAAATGTTTGCAAATAGTATAAAATGTTCATGAATTTAAAAAATGTTTCAAAATTTATAAAAGTGTTCACGAAGGTGAAAAATGTTCACGAGTTTATTATTTTTTCATGATTTCACGAAATGTAGAGTGATAGTATATCTCAGTGATGCAGCAAAATGTGGTCGTTGCCATTGAAGATTATGAATTATTTTCCCCGTTGCAACGCACCGGCCCTTTTGCTAGTTTGTATTATATTATATTTGGCGAACTATCCATCTAGCCGACACGTAGACCTTTTAAATCGGAAAGAGTCCATGAAAAAAATAAACAGAAAGAGGGAAATATGGGACATGGAACCAGAAGACACAGGAAAAACGGACCACAGTCAGTGAGGCAGACAAAACGTATGAATACGAGCTTCCATGGAACCAGAGGCCCAGAAACGAAGAGAGCAAAGCCAACCCGAGCCGGTGCGAAAGTGTGCTGCCTACTGCCGGGGACATACCTAACAGATCCAGCACGTCCACCGTGAGTCGGTTCCGATCGGCTGTTTCCACGGAAATAGTATGGTAGGCGATGGATTTCCCGGCAGAGAAAAAGGAAGGAACGAAGCCAAGCCAGCCCTCCGCCTCCGCCGGGGACACGACGCGGCCCCGCTCCTCCTTCCACCCCCCGTCCTATAAAGCTGCGAGAGTCTCGGCGCGGTCCTCCTCCCCACACCGTCCGAAAATAAGCAAGGCAATGGCCGGCGAGCATCAGCAGAGCCAGGGCGCGGCCAAGGCCCTGTCCAAGGGCTCGCCGTCGCCGTCGTTCCGCCTGCGCAACGGCAGCCTGAACGCGGTGCGGCTGCGGCGCGTCTTCGACATGTTCGACCGCAACGGCGACGGCGAGATCACGGTGGACGAGCTGGCGCAGGCGCTGGACGCGCTCGGGCTGGAGGCGGACCGCGCCAGCCTGGCCGCCACCGTCGGCGCGCACGTGCCGCCCGGCGCCTCCGGGCTCCGCTTCGAGGACTTCGAGGGCCTCCACCGCGCGCTCGGCGACGCGCTCTTCGGCGCCCTCGCCGACGACGCCGAGGAGGGCGGCGCCGGCGGGCAGGACGAGGAGGAGATGCGGGAGGCCTTCAAGGTGTTCGACGTCGACGGCGACGGCTTCATCTCGGCGTCGGAGCTGCAGGAGGTGCTCAAGAAGCTGGGCATGCCCGAGGCCAGCAGCCTGGCCAACGTCCGGGAGATGATCTGCAACGTCGACCGCGACAGCGACGGCCGCGTCGACTTCGGCGAGTTCAAGATCATGATGCAAGGGATCAACGTCTGATCTGACGCACGATCGATCGGCTTTTACGATTACACACAAGCGATGCATGCATCGGCCCGCCGTTTATGTAGTAAGCTCGATGATGAAGAACAGCCCTTTCTTTCTTTATGTTCGTCCACGATATGCTCAGATGCAATGCAACCTCTGAAGCTCCAAGAAAATGGAGAAGATAAGAGATTGCAAGATTAATTAATAGGTTTCATACATACGATCCCCAAAGGTTCAGATTACAGGGCCGTTGAGCATTATTTTTTGTGTGTCTAATCATGTGGTGTTGTAAACTTTTCATGAACTTTTTTTAACATATAGTATAATCATATACGCATGTACACTCACACTATGGACGTACGTACACACACCCTATTCCTAAGAGCACCTTACCCGGCCGACACAACATCTTGAGATTGACAAAGTCGACACAAACGCCTCTTAGTTGACAGAAACGTCTCCTCTAAACAAACATTGTCGAAAAAATTAAAATAACATTTTTGCTAAAGCACATCTAGATGTGCCATAAGTATTGCACATCTAAGTCCTATGTCATTGATCTTGTGTTGAGATTCATGTGGATATTTTTCTTTTTCTTTTTTCTTTTCCTCTTTATACTTGATTCACTCACTTAGATGTGCAATAACTAGAGCACATCTAGATGTGTCCTAAACACATCCTTAAAATAAATTCAAAAAAATGTGTGCACAAGTGCCAAGTTTAGGATTGGGTGGGCTGGTTTAACCACAAGAAACCTAACCATTTGGCTACGCTCTGGTCGCCGACGATAGAAGATATTTCAGAAAATTAGCAAAATAGGACTAGGTTCTTACATAGCCCGATCACTAGCACGAGCCCTCCCCCACTTCCTTCATTGTAGGAATCGGCCTAACATTGTATCACGTAGTTAGAAAAAGGACATGCTAAGGTCCAGCTATACCAACGCCTCGAAGAAGAAGTCGTCATGGTAAAAGCCTTATGTAGATAAAAAGTATTGGAGTCGAACCATTTTTTGGACTAAATTTATGCCGTGTTCGGAACAACGGTGAAGAGAACACCACAACGACAACGGGGAACATGAACACACATATAGCGATATATCGCATCATATAGACACCAAGGAGAGAAAATGAGACCATAGCCTGGTCACTATCGCAAAATGGTTGAGGAACCTCACCCAATTCCACTGTTGACACTAGCGGAGCAACCCAAGATATAATTGGTGGTTTTGCTTTTCTTTGCAGCCTATTCAAAAGCTGAGAGTTACCCTTGTGCTTATTTTGAGTTCAAATGATTTCATAGGCTCGCCTGTGTTTTAATTAAGATTTTAACAATCATATTTCGGCTAATATTGACGAAAAATAGATTTGACTAACCATCGACGCAAATCCTAGGATTTCACCATACTAACAAAAAAAAATGGCACTGTTGGTTATTCACTATAAGAGCCCCAATTGGTGCCGAGCATTTCTATCTCATCACATTCCATATTCCAACCAAGCTTTACCCCTTTCCCACTAATTGCTCGACGGAAATATACCCAGTTCTTACACACCAAAAGGTCAAGGAAGATGGAAAGGAGCGATAGCGAGTTGTGACACTAGTAGGAAACCCACTGATATGCATTCACTCTCAAAACACATCGATACCATATAGCATCGAGAGGTAAGATCTTCTTCCAGCCATGATTGTTGATTATGCCCACACAACATGAGTCAAAAGTCATTGCATCCAAGATGATGTGCTAGACGGAGGGAGCGATGAGATCATGGAATTACGCCATCCCGACTTTGAACAAAATATGCTTGAATGAGAACAATCGACTTACCTTTGGTCCATACCCGATTAAAAACGTTCTTGATGCACCAATGAAAGCTCATTTGATTACACACATATCCCCTCCATGGATTATAGGGCATTACCATGTTTGGCATACTATCATTTGACTTGCCCAATATCTTAACATGCACAAAGGTCAAAATTACATGGTGACCAAATATTGGTATATGGACAGATCAACAACTAGGAACTAAGCACTCTTGTTCCTCATGACAACTGGATCAACTAGATTAACTCAGGTACTCTTGCCCCCTTCAATCTTACCCGTTGTGGCCTCTTGTTCCAGCATGTGAAAGTATAAGAGGTGTCGAGAGGGAACACATTGATATGGTTGTATACCAAATCGAACGATAAAAGCTAGAGGAAGGAGATAGATTCAAGATGGTGGTCTCAGAAGCTTATTCATGTCGTTAATTACCTTAAGGTTTGAGGTTTAATGATTGTTGTCAATTTTCAACAGAAAAGTGCATTGCCAGGGTGACGGTCGAGATCCGATCTACGTCCCCCAGCATAATGCATGGATTAGCATTTGTGGTTCGAAGGACAGGTCGAAGCCTCGAAGGAGTCGCGTAGATGATTCTATCTATGCTTTGGTCTGTCTATGCCAGAAGGGAGGGGCCTTGCATCTACATTCCGTGTTTTTCATGTATTGCGGTTTCTTCAACAGAAAAATCAATGAAGTTGTCTTGTCCAAAATCCACATGATAGCTCCTTTAAAGGAAAGACTTTGACTAGCACGATGATGTCGAGCGTCCTTCACACGACGCCATGATTTGTGAACACGGATTTCAAAGAGGAAAAAAACCCTAGAGTTGGATGCAAGGAAGAAGCAAGTGGAGCACCATGACAATCAACCTGTTAGCATACACCTGGTACAGTCACCAATAGGTAGTAACATAAAGTAGTAACATGTCCATGTTACTATTTTATGTTACTACCTCTATAGTGAGGAGTAACATATGTGTGGTAAGATGCAACACTTTATTTATTAGGCTATAGACTCATCTTGCTTTGACATGTATGATGTTACTCATACTAGTAGTAACTAGCTATGTTATCACATGCTTCTTTTTTTTATTTATTGTTTGCCACATCATCTATTTTATCTAGATATTCGTGTGCGGTGTGCCGATACTGACGCCACGAACGTTTTACCCAATTTCTCTTCCTCTGATGATAATTCCGGGGTCTTTTTTACCATAAAAAAGAAGACACAAAGGACAATTCGTCTCATCGCCTGGGCCCGAGAATGGCCAGGCATTCCGTTGGAAAGTCAATCCCGTCTCGCACGGTACGACTGCGACCGAGGGCGACGGGACGGAGATCCGACGGCCCCATCCCAAAACAGAACGATCCGACGGCCCAGATCCCCCCCCATCCTGTCCCCCGCCTCATAAACCACCTTCTTCCCCCCTTCCATCCACAAGGATCCATCCAAGAGAGAGAGAGAGAGAGGGAGAGGGAAGG